GGCCGGTATTCAGAATCCATTCTTCTTCTCCCATCTCTTTGGGTCTATGAGAAGGAACTTGTAAACATAAATCAGAGGGTGCTATGTGTATCTCTGCTTCTGCCTGAGCTTCCCTCTCCCTTGCACTACTCATCTACAAGGTGTTGTGATCCCAAAGGAAAGGGGAAGCCCTCTTCTAATGTGGCTGCCTTTCTGGCACCTGGAGCCCAACTGCTGGTAGAGTTTAACAGCTGGGCACTCCTTAGAGCCATAAACTACTCTCTCTGGGAGCAGGACCGGCCATCAGCAACACAGCTCATCATGAATCTTTTGCCACAGCTAGGCTGATGAACACTGCCTCTGCCTAGGGTTTCCCTCTATTTCTTGTATTTCAAAGATTCCTATTATAATCCCAAATGGGATTCTGATAGCTCCCGTTCACCTCCCTGCATTCTTTCTCCAAGTTCAGTCCTATTTACTTCAGCCTGTGTCTCCAAAGTTCAAGTGTGTATATATATATATATATACACACACACACACACACACACACACACAGTCCTGATTGACAAGTACAATGAAAATGTCTCATTCCTGTCTGGTTTGCATTTCATTACATGGAGCAACAGCATGCCTTGGACTGCAAAGGACAAAGGCAAAACAGATTTGTAAAAACGGTTGATAAACAGAACCTGTTTGTTCATTCCCTATTGAATTTTAAAAGTATTTAGGGCTTATAAAATATTTGTTAGTTGATGGGGCCATAGTGAAAACTCAGATGTGGTCAATAAAATCTGGAGCTCAGTGAGTGTATCCGCCGGTCCTGGAGATCCTTCGGCTCCGGTCCCTGCACCCAATTAAGAGCTTTATCTTAGCATAAAAATAAAGAGGAATTAAAAACGCATTCTTTTCCCATCATTCTTCCCCCTTCATTTTTTTTATTGCCATTTGTAGTTTTCCTTTTTAAAAGATCTGGGACTCTGAAGGGAGAGAGGGGATTTATGTAAAGAAACTGTCGTTTACTAGGAAAAAATTCGAATAATGGTGAGTTTCAAGGACACGTTTCAACGAGAAACACTTTGTGCTCCACTAGGGAGAGGCAGGGGCACCAAATTCAGCGTCTTGGAATAATTCCCTTCCTGGATTCAAAGATTCATTTCTTGAAATAAATCAGGAAGCATTGGCAGAACGGAAATCCGCTTGCTGGGTTTAAAGGGTCTTTAAAATGTTGCGAGTGTTAGATTGCAAGTCTTTCCTAAATACAAAACAGAAGAAAAGACCACAGTGTTTCCTTTGGACTTAAAGAAAATTGCTAGGTTTCCGACTTAGGAGAATTTCAGGTCCACCACAGAAAATGTATTTAGAAAGAAATTCTGATTGATAATGCAACGTGCAGTGCTTGTTTTGGCTTTTAAGAGGCTGGAGTGAAGGGGTAAGTGCTGCAGATCGGGGATCTCGGTTGTACGGAGAAACCAGAGTACCCTACCAGCCCCTCAGGGTGTTCTGTTTTCTTCCTGCTTCTCCAAGATGGATTCTCAAAACCAGGCTCAAACGCTGATTTGACAATAATCAGTTTTTCTGATTTTATGTATTGTTTTTAGATTTGACCATTCAAATAAATCTTTTTTCCTATTTATTGTCTGAACTCAGTGTAAGGGAAAGGATTCCATTATATTTCTTATCCATACAGACGTGTGGATATTTAGACCAGACCACATACAACTGGGGGACGCATAAAAGAGATTTATTGGTTAATTTATGCTGCCTAATACACATGTAAACCCCAGTAAGCCAATGCTGCTGAGGGAGCTTGGGTTCTAGTGTAAAATAAGAACCACAACCCCTGGGTTCCAGTTGCCCTGCCCTGCCCAGCCCCGTGGTTCCTTTCTCCACCTTAAAAACAAGGGAAAAAGGAGAGCTTGCTGTGGCCTCTCTCTAATCTGTATACAAGCAAAACTTTTCTCCTTTTCACTTTCCTCTTTGCGGGCCACCACTGCACTCTCAGAATCAGCCACCCAAGTCCTCTGTGCTGGAAGTTGTTCCCAGATTCTGTTTCCCAAATCAAGTTTCGGGAGGAGGGGAAGCGACAGGTCATCAGTAAAACTTCCTTTCTTTTCTTTTCTTTTCTCTTTTTTTCTTTTCCTTTCTCTTTTTTTTTCTTTTCTTTTCTTTTCTCTTCTCTTCTTTTCTTTTCTGCCTACCAGCAGTGATTGGCTTTGTGGGGGTGGAAGACTTTTTTCCATCTAAGGTAACTTACCGTATCTGTAGAGATTTCGATTTCCACAGTGTGGAAGGATCAGGGTTCCCCCCCTCCCCAAGTAAAGAAAACCCCACCCAAAGCAATCAAAACAGAATTTGCAATGGTCTGCCTCTACCTGACAGTTTATAAAGCCTCCAGCCTCGCCTGTTCGGGGGCGTCTGGGACCCCTGCGCCCCGCCAAGCGACAACACCCCCTCTGAGCCCTACATTCTCGACGGGCCGGGCTGCCCCGAGAAGGGCTCCACCGCCCGGGGTTTTGACCGGGCTGAAGCGCCTCAGGTCTGCCCCTTAACAAGCATCCCCCCACCTCCCTACTTCTCGGTTGATGATCTAATTGAATTATGCCTTTTTGTTCCAGGGACTACAGAGCACGTGCTGGAGGCAATTAATTATCGGAATGTGGCCGTATCAAAATGCACACTGGGCACCGGGTAGGTCAGCGGCGGCAGCATCCCCATGCCCTGCGCTTGAGACCCCTCCCCCAAACAGGGCATGCTAGGCTCCCGCGGACTGCCCCCTTCTGCAGCCTCTAGTCCAGTCATCCGCCCTGACTCCTAGATTTTCGGGCTACCAGCTGGCAGCTCTGGCATTGGCGCTGGCCGGGCCAGGGCTAGACAGCCGCCCCCTCTCGGTCTGGGAGCCTGAGAACCGCTCTCCCCGCGACCCGCTCTGTGAGAAAATCCAAACTTTCTCAAATCTGCTACTTGCCCAGAGGCCGTGGACTGGTGGGAGGTGAAGGAAGGTAGCTGGAAGGAAGGAAATAAAGGGTAAAGTGAAAAGAAGCAGGGGGGAGGGGAGCAAAGGAATCCTCCCTTTTTGTAAACCTGACTCCAGGGAATTCATTTGCATGATTTAAGCATATTTGTTCTCCTCTGAACACCCCCCACCCCCGGCCAAGCAAAGAAACCCTCTGAGGAGCCACAATGAAACCATCCTTGGAGAGCCGATTTTCTGTAGATGCAATAATGGAAGCCAGCAGTGAACTCACCTTCCAACCTGGGGAGAGAGCTCTGGATGTGGAGGGAGAATTGGGGCGTTTGATGGGAAGGGGTGACTACCCTAAGATGTGCTACCGGCAGGGCTTTCCCCCAGCAAACTGGCAAAGAAAGGAGGTGCAGTGTTGGCCAGGCTAGGCAGATTGGGGGACAGGAAGTGAAAGGCTGCAGTTACAAAGCGCTGCTTGAGGCGGTCTCTCCTGGAGCCTCTGAACTTGATCAGATGTTCTGTTTCCTACAGAGAGATGGCGGCTAGGCTGGGAGGTTGCCTTAAGGCTCAGGCTTCAGGGCTCTCCCTGCTCAGGATGTGACAGTCACAGCTACCTTTCTCTTGGCCTTTTCACTCTCACTCTCCTGCAGTCTTCCCAAATGCCTTGCTAGACAAAAAGTGAGTGCATGTATAGCCTTGTCTTAACCTGGTCATTATGTCCAGAAAGACACTGCACTAGGCAGAAGGTGGGGGTGGGTGGGGGAGCGTAGTGACTACCACACACTCCTGGGAATTAAATCCTTAAGGGGTAAGCCTTCCCCCAAGTCACTGGATGCTTCTCCCAGTAGGAGTGGAAGAAAGGCCAGTTGCGAGGGAAAAAAATTCCATTTCACAGGTTCCCATTTCACCACTTCACACTTTTTTGTTGGAAAATGTTGAGAATTCTAAGCTGATTTGCCCAGTGATTTGCAAACCGCACGGACACTATGTGTGTTTTATGTCTTTAATATGTGTTTAGTGTGTTGTGAATGTTTTGTGTACAGGATTAAGTGTGCTCTGTGCTTGTTTGTATCTGTTCCTATATTTGCTGTTGTGTGCATATTTGCTTTATTGTGTGTTCAGTTGTGTGCCTGTTTATTGTGTTGTGTGTAGTTTGTTGTGCTAATGTGTTGTGTGTGCTTACTCTGTTGTATGGTGTGCATATTTAATGTATTGTGTTTCATCCGGTGCAGTTGTATTTACTGTGTTACGTTGGTGTATCCTGCTCTGTTTGTGCTTATTGTGTTGTGTGTGTTTGCTGTGTTGTGTCTGGCGTGCATGGCAGGGGTGGGGTTCGTTGGGCAGAGGCGAGTACAACCACTGCTCAAAAACTAAATGGTCAACGTTTGGCTATTGGCTCAAACCTACGTATGGGACATCTGCTGCAATTGTAGTCCTTCTTGTTTGGGCCTCGGGCGGTTGCCGGCACAAGCAGCGACCTGGGTCTGGTGTTTCGGGGCCATGGGGCACGGCATTTTGGCATCAGTCGGGGATCTGCATCCCGCGGCAGCTAAGGGAACACGTCCTCCAGGCGGTGAAGTAGCAGGGAGTCCGAGCGGGACTAGATGTTGAGCGCCGCGCCTACGGAGGAGGCGCGACAGTGGAAACGATCCTAGCGGGGTAGAGTTTTCTTTAGCCAAAGCGGGTAAAGAGCGCGTGAGGGGTGCTTGCTCCCTTGGGGCTGGGACGTAGCCCAGGCAGTAGCCCGAGAGACGCCCGACTCCTCCCCGCCGCTTGTCGACTTGAGGCTGGCCCCAGTTCCCCGCGGTCGCGCAAACCCTGCAGAGTCCACTCGCGGCCGCACGGCTACCGCCGCCTCACCTGCCAGGCGCCCGGCCGCTGCCCAATCAGCGGCGGTCGCTCGGCCGCGGCTGCCATGTTCCCCGCTCTGCGCTGCCAATCATTGTGGCGACGGCCAATGGGCGCTCTGGCCGGGGGTCAGGTGACCGCGGGCCAGTTGGCTCCCCATTGGCGCGCGCCTCACGGCCTCCCGCTCGGTTTATGTGCTAGGAGTGAGTGATTGACTTTATCAGTCCAAGGACATTACTCTGGAGGCGAAGAGACTGGGACTCGCGCGGCGAGCGGCGAGGATCGAGCTTGCCTATTACCCGCTGGCCGCGAGCCGGCCTCGCCACTTGGGGCAGCCCAGGCGAGAGGCCGGTACCCAGGGAGCCTCCTGGCTCCGCGGTTCGGCGCTCTCGGGGAGAGGAGGGGTGCCCGGGACAGGATTGGCAAACTCCGCCCTCCACTTATTATTTAGCTTATTTTTCTTTGTGCGCTCCTGCTAGTTTGTTAAACCAGATCTAGTCCCAGAGTCTTTTCTCCTCCCTTCTGCTCTCTCCTCCTTCCCCCCTCCTTCCCCCCCACCCCACCCGCTCCTTCTTCTTCCCCTCCTCCCTCCTATCCCTCTGCAGGAGACTCTTGCGGCTACGGAAAGTTGCAGCCCCTGGTAGCGCCTTGGGGTTCTGTCGGCAGCGTCCAACGGCCGCCACCCCTCTCCTACTACGGCACTTCGGAGAGCTTCGCCGGCACCCTCGGTCACTTCAGCCGGATCGCCAGTGCCCAGAACGCCCCACCCATGACGATGCTGCTGGACGGAGGCCCGCAGTTCCCCGGGCTAGGAGTGGGTAGCTTCGGTGCGCCGCGCCACCACGAGATGCCCAACCGTGAGTCGGCCGGCATGGGACTGAATCCCTTCGGGGACTCAACCCACGCAGCGGCCGCCGCTGCTGCCGCAGCTGCCTTCAAGCTGAGCCCGGCAGCGGCGCATGATCTCTCTTCGGGCCAGAGCTCGGCGTTCACGCCGCAGGGTTCAGGCTATGCCAACGCCCTCGGCCACCACCACCACCACCATCACCATCATCACCACGCCAGCCAGGTGCCCAGCTACGGAGGCGCTGCCTCTGCCGCCTTCAACTCCACGCGCGACTTTCTGTTCCGCCAGCGCAGCTCTGGGCTTAGCGAGGCGGCTTCGGGTGGTGGGCAGCACGGGCTCTTCGCTGGCTCGGCGAGCAGCCTACACGCTCCAGCTGGCATTCCTGAGCCCCCTGGCTACTTGCTGTTTCCCGGGCTGCACGAGCAAGGCGCCGGGCACCCGTCGCCCACGGGGCACGTGGACAACAACCAGGTCCATTTGGGGCTGCGCGGGGATCTCTTTGGCCGTGCTGACCCGTACCGTCCGGTGGCCAGCCCGCGTGCGGACCCCTACGCCGCCAGCGCGCAGTTCCCGAACTACAGCCCCATGAACATGAACATGGGCGTGAACGTGGCGGCCCACCATGGGCCAGGCGCCTTCTTCCGTTATATGCGGCAGCCCATCAAGCAGGAGCTGTCCTGCAAGTGGATCGACGAGGCTCAGCTGAGCCGACCCAAGAAGAGCTGTGACCGGACCTTCAGCACCATGCACGAGCTGGTGACGCATGTCACCATGGAGCATGTGGGGGGCCCAGAGCAGAACAACCATGTCTGCTACTGGGAGGAGTGCCCCCGCGAGGGCAAGTCCTTTAAGGCGAAGTACAAACTGGTCAACCATATCCGAGTCCACACGGGCGAGAAGCCCTTCCCATGCCCTTTCCCGGGCTGCGGGAAGATCTTTGCCCGTTCTGAGAACCTCAAGATCCACAAGAGGACCCACACAGGTAAGGAGGAAGGCAGTCGGGCGCGGAGTTCATCAGGGGCGCCGGGCCATGGAATGGACTTGAAGTGCGAGGGAGAAGGGGTGGTGGCCAAGGAGAGGGGCGGCGCCCCGCCGAGGTCGATCGGAAAAGAAGCGCTGTCAGTGCCCTTCCAACCTCTCGCCCTCCCCTCCCCGAAGTGCTGTTCCCCAGTCCTAACTTCCTGGGCAGACGGCTCTGCGGTCTCGGGAACTAATTGGGACCTTCTCGAGCCCAAGAACAAACTGGCGCCGCCTCTTTTTGTCTCCCTTTCTAGGTTACTGTGAAGGGACTCCGAATGTGTTGAGAGCGTATTGCTTACAAGCGACTTAGCTCTCGGCACACATTCGAGGAAGGCAACCATAGAAATGCTAATGAAAACTAACTTTCCGCTTACTTCCGCTCTTTTTTACACTTGATTGGCACATCTCCTAATTAAATGACTGATACTTTTGTCAAACTATTTTTATTTGGAGTTCCAGGTTCAATTCAGTGTTCCGGAAAGCTAAAGTATAGAAAAGGCACCACAGTTTCGTAGTTTGTTCAGAACATCTTGTAAAACTGTCTGGATCGCCTGGATTTATATGGTTTTCTCTTTTCGAACATTAAGTGCTACTACCCAGGCTTTTTTAATAGTGGGCTTAGCAAAACCGCTGCATTTGAAAGAGGCAAATTGAAAGGTACAAAGGGGCTGATCAGGATTGTCCGTCCCATCCCGGGCCCATTGTCCCGCCTGGCTCGGTTACGTCGCCGAGGTGGTGGCGGAACTAGCCCGCGGGGTGGGATCCCCGTGCCGGCTGGGGAGGAACCACAACTTTAGGGAAACTTCGGAGGCGCCTGGCGCTTTGCAGTCCTGAGGAAACAAAGGGATGATCAGGTTTTGGGCCGGCCCTGCCCCACCCCCGTCCCGGACCACCACTCCCCTGCCCTTCGAGCTCAACAAGCGCTCTCCATTTTTCTCCAGGGAAAAGAGATGCGACAGCCGCCCCCAGTCGGCGCTCCCTCTCTGGGAAGACCGCCGGGCGCCCAGTCTCCCGCAGCTCCACTCTGGGAAGCTCCTGGCCCTGACTGTATTTTCCTCCCCGTTGCGTTTTTGCCTTTTGCAGGTGAAAAACCGTTCAAATGTGAATTTGAAGGCTGTGACAGACGCTTTGCCAACAGCAGCGATCGCAAGAAGCACATGCATGTGCATACTTCGGATAAGCCCTATATCTGCAAAGTGTGCGACAAGTCCTACACGCACCCGAGCTCCCTGCGCAAACACATGAAGGTAATTACCTCTTTATTAGCGGTCGGCGGTTTGTAAACACTCGGCCCGACACCGGGCGGCGGAACGGAAGCGCCCGCGCGGGCAACCCTCTATCCTCCACGTTAAATCCGATTTGCTCCAGCGGTGACACCTTGAACCCATTTTTGGGACCCGGAGGGTGGGGCGGGAGAGAACAGAGTTGGGAGGAGGAGGTGGGGACGCAGGGAACAATCATTTGTTTACTGGGAAGCTCTGGCCGAGTTCGCCTGGGCTTGAGGCTTCCACGCTCAGCCCGCGGTGGGAACAGACAGCACTGAACCCGAGGGTGGGTGCTTCGTTCGCCCTCTGGCTTCCGATAAAACAATAGGGCCGAGGAGCGCGTTCTGATTCCGCACGTTTGTCTTAAGACTTCCGCAGCGCCCAGCCCCCCTGTGCCACCCTTCTCTCTACCTGCTTTCCGAAGCCGAAACTGGCTTGGCAAAACCTGGGCCCCGAGTGACTATTTCACAGAGCCCCACAGAATAGCTGCTTATCCCGCTCTGTCCGCGGAGAAAGCATTTTTAAAGTGGCATGACTAAAACGGAGTACTTTATTCCTTTGCCATATTGCCAGTCTTGGGACCGAAACTGGGTTTTGTCGAATGTGTCCGGGTTTTCTAGACATTGCTAATATGGAAATGTAAAAAAAAAAAAACGCATCGCATCTTTTTAAGTGGGTCACTGGGCGGTCTTGCTCTTAGAGTGCTCGAATTGTGCTCTTGTTTTTGCTTGTACATTGCCAGTTGGAATTATATTCATTATAATATATACATGTTAATTTTAGGTTCATGAATCTCAAGGGTCAGATTCCTCCCCTGCTGCCAGTTCAGGCTATGAATCTTCCACTCCACCCGCTATAGCTTCTGCAAACAGTAAAGATACCACTAAAACCCCTTCTGCAGTTCAAACTAGCACCAGCCACAACCCTGGACTTCCTCCCAATTTTAACGAATGGTACGTCTGAGGACAAACACAAACACAAACCCTGTTAACCTTAGAACGGACTAAATGCATTTTTAAAAGGAAACTGAGACCAATGAGATGGAAATGGAGTTTTAATGCAAGAGACCATATATAGGGCTACATCTTGTTAATTGTAATTGTCCAGGAAGGTTTTGGGCAAGATCCAAAAGTAGCTGTGCCCTTTTCTCAGGATCAGAAAATGTTTTGGCATTTGAAGAATTTTTTTTTTTTTTTTACAGAATCTTGTCACTGCTTTTTCTTCCCCTTCCTCTTGCTTTCTGCGCATCCCATTCCTAAACTCCTTCAATTCATTTTAACACTTGTCCTGTTTCTTGAGAGGAAGTTATAGAAGGTTTGATGGTGGTGGTGATGTTACACTGATGGAAATTCTTCTTCGCCTTAGTGGTGATTGTTTAAACTCTCACAGTCTTAAACCGTGCCAAAGTCCTGTTATGTCTTGAACTTTTCCTCAAAGCATTACACTTGTGAATGTATTTTTGTCTAATGGGGTCGAAACTGTTGTTCAGTATTTTTTCAGGCTGAGGATGTGATGTTACTCTACACAGATTGTGACATTTAGTATACGATTGCCTTTTGTAATAACTTTTTTTTTTGTAAATACATATCCATTGATGCCATATTTATCGTTTGTAATTTAATTATTGCTACAAGTGCCGGGAACTGAACAATATTTATGGATAAATGTTTTCTAACAAATTCTGTACAGCTTTTGATTATAACTGCTTTAGCATTAAAAATTTATTGTTTTGAAAAAGGAACACAATTTACAATTTTTGAACCACTGACTCCTTTCTCTTGTTTTGTAACAGCCTCCTTGTACAAAGAGGCGACGTGAGCAAATTGAATCTTGTTTGTTGGTATTTATAACTCACGCAGATCTCTTTTTTAATTATTAAATTATTTTTCTATTACAGTATAGATTCCTTACAGTGTCAGTGTCCATCTGGGAAGACCCTCCTTTCTTTATCTCTAGCTCAGATGGTTGTTTAACTGCGAGTTTAAATGTGTTTGTCCTGGATTTTCGGCATGCAAATCAAATATTACTGATCAATTCAGTTAGTGGCCATGACATCTCAATCTTGTACTTCAAAGAGTGAGAAGCTGGATTTAATCATCCCTGCCCTACATATATAAACATAAGGTAACCTAACGAGTTTTATGTCCCTTAGTTCTTTATTACCTTACATAAAAATGAAAATTGCGGCAGGATGCATGTCTATCTATTCTATCTAGAGGTCACCCATACACCTATATATGTTTGTATCTATGACTTATCTAATCTGCCTATCAAATCTGTCTAGCTATCTATATATTTTCAAATGATAGCATATGTCTGCAACAGTGGTGAATGAGCAAGGCCAGTTGAGCAGTACTTATGCTTAAAGTGCTTCTTAAAAGAACCATAGTCCATTCAAATTTTGGAAGGCAAAGGCTGATTTGTTTTCTGTATATAGTTCTATTCTTAATTGCCACAATTATTCATAACATTTATATAGCGGTGTAATAACTGCAACAGTTCTGAAATACTGTGGAAAGAAAAACATTTGCAAAATATGTATTTTTAAAGTTCATGATTTGTAGGCAAAGATGTTAAGAGCATTGTTTCCATTAAAATCAATAACAATGAAAAATGGTTGTTTGCTTTGTGATAAAATGTTAACAATCCATTTAATCTTCAGTGAAGCAACTCCTTTGGACAAACAGTTCTTTTACAGTGGTTATATGGAAAAGAAACTGATTACTATTTGTGGGGGTTGGAGTGGGTAGAGTAATGAGACCTTTTTTATTATTAGGGTGCTGTTTATTATTTGAGAGCCCAATCTCTGCATGAATGACAGAAAAGTGGAGATAAGGAATTGTAAAGTATTTAGAAATGTGATGAATAGGCTTAAGTACCTCTTTCTCTTTAAGGGGCAGTGCTCTAGGTTTTTTGGTGGCAGTCAATTTGGTATTATATATAATCATTTTCAATTCTGGAACTTTGTTTATTGTTCCTTTTGAAGAAATAAAGTCTTGGCACATTTTATTTATGTTATAACATTTTTGTATTTCGTGCCCAATTTATTTTCATGTTCAAATAAATCAACCTAATATTGAAATGCTTAGAGAACTTTTGATGATTAAAAGAAACTTTGATTCTCTGGATACAGTTGAACCAATCTATTTTAAGTTATGTGTTGATCTTTGTCAACAGATAATTATTGGCAGTTTCTAAGTGCAAGTTGCTTTGGAGGTGACTTTTTTGTTAGTGGAGAATGGAGTCTTTTCCACTTTTTTCTCCACCAATATAAACCCGAATTCCAAGAACAGAGATTGGGATGGCTACACGTGTGATTTGAGCAGGTAACCTGGTCAGTCTACCACTCAACCCAGACATTCCAGTCTTGACCTTGACATTGAGGGTGCTGTACTAGATTTCTGTGTGAGGATTTTTCCTGCACTTTAAAAACTAGAGACAATTCTAAATGCTCAGAAAATTCTCAGAAAGCATATACTCGTAAGACTGGCTCAAAATGTGTACCACTTTTAAGTCTAAATAGTGTTTTCTCCTGACATGTGCAGGGAATTTCCAGTTTTTCTATTTTCTTTGTACCTCCAGTCCCTTGGGGTAACCTAACTTTGAAGTACAGTGATGGATTGGGTGCAAGATTCACTTAGAAACATGCTTTGCCCAAATTTAATATCTCTTTAGGGGATAAAGAAGAGTTGGTGTTTTTATTTTCAGTGGTTTTGAAATTATCCTACTGTAAAATTTTAGGGGAATGTATTATTTATGACCTAAGAGTGGAAGATGTCAATTGATACAAAAGCTCTATCCCTCCACTGGTTAGCTCTAATTTGGGTGCGGCATATCTGAAAATTTTATCCTCTCCATTGTCTTCTGTGGCAAAGAAAACTACTCGTTTTGGTAGAAAACTTTTTCTTTTTTATAGATTTTCTTAATATAATCTGGCTCTGCAAGTACACATCTATATTCTTGGATTTTCAGTCAATAACCTTAATCTCCCCTACACACACACACAAAAGAGAAATAATAAATGCTCAAGCCAGAAGTTCAGGCTAGGTTCTTGGTCATCTACTTGTTATTTTCCTTGTTGCACTTGGTAAAAGCTTTGTTTAAAGTCCATTGGCTTTTCCGAAATGGAAAATTTAGCGCGGGAAGATAACCACTGTTTGGTGGGGAAGAGGAACATGGCCATTTCCACGCAAGACAAGTCTGGCCTTCCTCCAGTTTGGAAGGTTCAAGAGCAGGACCCGGGCTGCTCAGGGCAAGGCGGGGAGGGTGGAGACCAATGAGCTCACAATGCCTCCCCAGAAAGTTGATGTCTGCTGGACTCACTCGCCCCTCCTCCCCCCCTCCGCCTGATTTCTCTGGTGCTTCGATCCTGGCTCCTTCTCCTTGTCCCTCCTATAAGAAACCCCACTCCCACAGACAAATGAGAGCAAGTCTAGCGGCCTGTTCAACACAAGACGCAAGACGTCCTCCTGGCACCTCGGGTGGTTTTCTCTTAACGGGCCTCTGCTCCTCAAAGCCTAATTCTCCAGTCGGGCTTTAGCCAGGCGTCTCGGAAGTCATGGCTCCCACGGGACTGTCCTGGCCCCTCGCCGGGGCGCCCAGGGTCCCTGTCCACACCAAGTTGCTGCAAGTCCTGGCCGAGGCCCGGGCCAGGGGGAGGGGACCTCATTTCCTAGGGTCAATTCTCTCGCGGTTTCTGCCCGCTGACCCTTTGACCTCCACCTACAGGGCCCTTGGCGGCCGTAAGCCGGCGGTCGCCCGGGCTCCGAGGACGCTTCGCGCCCCATCGCCTCCCGGCCTCATTAGGCCGGCGGGGCTGTAAAGCAGGAATCAGCCGCTGCCTAATCCGGACCTGGGGTCAATACGAGCCCAAACAATGGTGAGCTTCGAAGGCCACTGCACAGCACTGGCCACAAACTTTGTGTTCAATTCATTTTTCTAAAGCGGCGAGGGTGGGGGAGGAGGATGGCGTAGGGAGGGTGCTATTCGTCCACTCCAAGGCCGCTCGGGGCTCCTGGCGCTCACTCAGTGGCTGTGCCCTCGCGGTCTCTTCGCAGCACCTAAGGAGAGGGCTACAAGGCCGTGGTCCCGGTTGGCGGCCTGCGTAGGGGTCCGAGCTCCGGCCCGAATGAGGCCGCCCCCGCGCCGGGAACCCACTTTGAAGTGGGTTTTTAGCGCGCACGTGTGAGAGTCGGGCCAGGGCCTGCACTGGGACCCGCTGGGAGGAAAGAGGAGGCTCGGGCCCGGGCCCCAACCCCCCCACACTCCCCGCGGCTCCGGCCTTTTCAAGCCGCGGCTGGGGGCTCGTAGACCTCCCCCACCCGCCCCCACTGCCGCGCCGTGCGCAGGCGCACAGCCGGCAGCCGTCGAGTCGGATTTTGCGGCGAGGGGGTGGGGGTAGAGTTGAAAGCGGCTTTGCGGCGCCCGGGTCTCTGCTGAGCCGGGAGGGAGGGAGAGGAGAAGAGAGGGCTGCAGAAAGGGGGATTGGTTTTGGGGCGGCTCTCGAGTCGCGAACATGGCGGCCGGATGCGAACCCCCGCAGAGCGCAGTGAAGCACCGACCGCGGGCTGCCCAGCAGTTGTGTGGTTTAAACTCCCTGGCTCCTCGGCTCTGGGCGCCTCGCGCGGGAGCGTAGTTCTTGACAGTGCGCCGCAAAACTGTTCCGAGACAGAAGCGACGAAGTTCTTCCCGTGCACTCTGCTGGGAGGTTGGCGTTCCCCGATGGGGGTTGGGGTTCCCGGGAGTCCTGGACAGAACCCCCCCCCCCCCCGAGGCCGCCTCACTCTCCCTGCCCGACTTAAGCATCTCTCCTTGGCTCTTGGATAGGGGCTGCTCTTGCGCATTGTGCCACAGTCGGGATTCCACAGCACCTTGGACTCCCTAAAAATTCGCAACGGAGGACACTGTGTTCTCTTCCCAGGACAGTGGTGACTCCGTGAGGAGGGGAATACGTAGCCACCATTTCTAAATAAATTGTCCTGGTCTGTCAACAGACATTGCGAGTTCAAGCCCTACACATCGCCCAGGCCCCGTTTTCTGCACATCTCATTTAAACGTGAGCGTTTAAAAACTCAGCTTGTGTGAGTGTGTGGGTGTGTGTGTGTGTGAGTGCGCGCACGCACGCACGCCACAACAGCTGCTGGGCTTGCGTTAAGGCAAAGAAAGCAAGCCACAATCCCGAAAACTTTTGTACAGTTTTTGCTTAACTGCCTTGATACCGGCTTACGAAAGCAACCCTGGGGGCTCTGAGATCTCGAGGTCGTGTTTTCTCCGCAGAAAGATTCTTCGGATTCTCTTTAGGCTGAGAAAAATGTAAGAGGAAAAGGTGTCGTTATTGACCCCTCAGCCCCTCTAGGAAAAGCAGCAGCGCAAACTCTTCCAGGTTGCCTCTTGGTGGAGACCAACAGTCAAGGCAGCGCTCTTGGGGTTGCCCATTGACAGGCGTTTGGGCTCCTGAAGGTGTGGGGCAGTCCCTGAGGGCCACCTTGTGATGGGCCCCAGGTGGGTGGGCAGGTCATTAGCAAGATTGGCCCTGATCTGGGGGAAATCTGCAAAACAGTGTCTTTATTTTCAGAGAACAATTCATGGGGTTGTCTTTCCTCCTTTTCAGTGCACAAAGAAGACGGCTTTGGAGCAAGAATTTGGACTATGCATTTAAGTTGTCGCGCTTTGCATTGGAAACCCCTGGGCAATTAAAATAAGCATGCCCCGTAGTATTTTCTGTCCTTTTCTTATGTGCGATTCCTGCAAGTCAAAGGGGCTGGAGCCTCTGCAGCGGTTTGGAAACTTGTTTTGAAATTGCCACCAAACCTATTTTTCTTTTTCTTTTCCTGTGGGTGAAGTTTCCTTCCCAGGCCCAATCACTACAACCCCCCCCCCCCACTGGAATAGTCTATTGACATCTTTGGACAGATCAAAAGAAGTAAACGGTGCCTGTTGTGTACTTTCTTTTTCTCCATGCTGTAGTTTGAACCCTGAGGTTTGAGCGTTTTCCTGCCTAAATCTCCTGGTACCAAAAGCGCGCGGGGCTGGAGTGGGGGTGGAGGTGTTCATTAACTTGAAAAAAGCCCTTGCCAGTACTTAGACAGGGGGGCTTGGCCCTTTAAGAATGATAGAACTCAGAATGTTTCTCTTACATTGACTTCAAAATCAAATGAAAATGCGTTGGCAAAGTGTTTCCCCTGGATACCCGCGGTGCTCTAGGCCATTTGACGTGGTAAAGCGGGTTGATTTTCATAAGAGTTGGGTGAATGGAATTTCTCCAAAACTGGGCAAATGATAAATTAGTAGAGCTCTTCTATTTATTGGAATGATGATTTCAAAGGGCACTACTTTTCTCACCAAGCTGTGATTTCCATCATAACTATTGAAATATACAGCTTGAGAAACACTAAGTTTCCAGAAAGCATTTGAGTGGGGGTGGTCAGAGACCTTTGGCTACTAGCAACTATTAGTAGGAGTGTAACTTTGAATATTGGAGAAACTCATTGCAAAAAAATCTATTAAAACTAAAGAAAATGTCTTCGTTTAAGAAGCATCCAACTAACCCAGCAGTTTTATATATTTTCAACCTGTTTACTGATGGACAACAGTGAAATGTAAGCTTTCCAGTAACTATCAAAGTAGCTTTCACCAGATGGCAAGTTTATGTTTGATCTCTCCAGCAGGGTGTATATGTTATCTAATGTGCTTTATTAAAATATAACCTGTATGAAGAACCGCTTGAATTTAAGGTGTTAAAAATAAGTGACTCCGTGATGTTTCCTTTCAAGCAACCTACCCATGTAACATTTTGTGACATTTTTCTAAGAAAAAAACGTAGCCTATTTTGACCTATCTGCAGTTCACTTTTTGTTTTTTTGCCAGTGTTGTCCTGCTTGGTATCCGGGACAGTCTCTAATTCCTGATGAAGAACTTGATACTGACGTTGGTATGCAGCAGCCAGCCCTCCATAACACTACCTATCCTAAATGCAGGGTTAATACCGAACCTACTGTGCAAGAAATGATTTACTGATGAGGTTTCAAAGAAAACCACATCAATTTGGATGTCTGTTACCTTGAAGTGATCATTTTAAGAGTAGTAGCTTCTTCCCTAGGTATAAAAAGACTATTTTCTTCTTTGGGTG